GGGGGTTAGGGGGATGGGTCTGGGTGTTAGGGGATGGAATGGGATTGCGGGTTAGGGGGATGGAGACTGCGGGTTAAGGGGATGGGGGTTAGGACTCGGAGTTAAGAGGATGACACTGGTCCTGGGGCTTTTGGGGGTGTGTGCCAGGGACAGGGGGCTGGGGCTGGATTACGCGTGAGCTGACTTTCCAATGCAGCGTCTGAGTGACAGCGCAAGGGGAGGAGAGCAGACGGTGCGCCGGCTCGGTGAATATTGCGGACCTGGACGCGCCCATGGAGGAGCCCGCTAAGGAAGCTCTCGCCGGGTGAAGCCGGCCGGATGGTGCGGGCAGCACAGCGGCCGGGGCTTTGCAGTACCATTAGTCGCTGGACTGGGTGTGGGTCTGGGTCTGGGAGCTGTGCCCCTGCCCGGCCGCCGCTATGGCTTGGCCGTGCATTAGCCGGGTCTGCTGCCTCTCTCGCTTTTGGAGCCAGTTGGACAAGTCGGATCTCTCGGTGCCGCTGACCGTCCAGCATTACTCCGAGGTTATAGAACAGGAGGTGAGATCCGTGGCACAGCAGGTGCTTCCGGACACGTCCCTGCCCAGCAACCCTCCCCAGGCTCCCGAACCCCGAGGGGAACCGGCTGATGTTCAGGAGTCAGTCTCCAAGCACGACTTCAGGTCTTGGAAGGTGCGCAAGGAGGCGAGCTGCAAGCCCAGGCGGGAATACCAGCCTTCCGAGGTCCCCTTCTCCAGCGACACCCAGTACAAGCTCGACTTCAAAGCCTGGCCCATCCCCAGGAAGGAGAACTACCCCTGGCTGAAGGCAGGGCAGGAACAGCGGCCCATGCCCAGCAGCGCCAGCGCTCACACTCTGCATCCCTCCGGATCAACCGCAGATAAGCAGCAGAGAGGAGCCAAGCTGCAAAACCATGCCAGGGAACCCGTGCACAGGCACACCACAGAGGAGCAGATCAGACCCGCGGTGAAAACCACTTCCTACAGGTCAGTGCTGTGCAAGGGGACTCACTCCGGACAAGTTGTCTTCACCCTTTGGATATTGTACTTCCTAGTCCGCCAGCCCTTTAGAGGCTTGTTCTGCTGAGAGCATCCACAGTCTCCCTGGTGTAGTTTAAGCCATTCTCTGAAGCATACCTTTAGTGCTGGCACTGCTGGGAAATACGTTTCATGATTAACACAGCTTTTTTTAAAAAAAACCTATCATTGGATGGTGCAGTATATCCATGTTTTGGATTATGTGTTCCTTTGTTCAAATTAGACTTTCTGTTCAATTCGTTTTATTCCTTATCAGATCCTCTCAGGGTAAATTTAGACATTTGTCTCAATTGGTCCTAAAAGTATACGAGGTAAGGATCAGCGAGACTGGGTCACCAGGCCTACTGTATTGGAAGAAAATCTCACCGTCGTACTTTGATGTTTGCTATGGTGCTCAGCCTAAATCAGGAGTTCTCAAGTGCCATCCCCATCAGGGACAAGTCTTCCTCACACCCATTCGACAACCCTTCCCCACTCCCATTTCCTACTAAACTGGATCCCAAAAGTAGAACGGATAAACTTGACAAAGCACAGAGGTGACATTAATGCAGGAACGATACCAGAGAGGGAGAGTGATGGAGAATTTAAGGGTGTTTGTGGGACCAATTAGAGTTGCCGAGATTAAAAACGGATTTAAGAGCACGGATCAGAATTTTATTTGGAAGCATTTTGGACTGGAAGCTAATGGAGCTCAGTGAGTGCAGGGATGGTGTGTGAGTGAACTGCACTGCGGTAAAGGCCAGCAGAGATTTAGCTGAGCTGAAATTTATAGAGAAGTAGGGAATGAAGAGTCAGTCAGAGGAGTATTAAAGGAGTCAAATCTAAAGATGATAAAGCCGTGGATGATTATTTGTACAGCAGCTGAGCTGAGGAAGCGGCAGAGGCCAGTGGATCTGAAAGTAGGCAATCTGGCCCAAAATAGGCAGAAACTGTGCAGATTAGGGATAGTAAGGCTCCAAACAATAGAGTGCATATGAAAAATTGTCAGGTACATAGAATTAATTCCTTGATTATCAGAATCTATCTTTTAAATGCATAACTTGTGGAAATTATGACTAGTCCAAGGCTGATTTTTGAACAAGCAGCCCCCAACACCAGGCAGGGGACAAACTGAGCAGATGATGGGGAGGACAGGTCAGGTAGTTGTCAGAAGAAACCTCAGTGAGTTGCTGAATTGCTTCCTGTCAAAAGTGCCCACAGCATCCTCGGTACACCAGTTTATGGAGAGTGAACATTTCAGCTGCTAATAGATACCCATGAGTGGTTATATAATATCAATAGCAATGCATATCGAAAGGAGAAAGGAACAGAGGGAAGATAAACATTTATTAACAGAGTGGTGAAATGTTGGTGAAGAGGGTAGGTGCCTTTTGTACGTATCCTGTGCAGCAGTGCTTTTTCTTCCCCCACAGCGTGGTTGGGCCTTTTATTAAAAATGCCCACTATTATCAAACGTCAACTAATGATGCTGATCTTAGACTCTGATAGGAAATGATTAGTGAAAACTAGTGACTGTAGCTTTGTGTTCTTTGTGCTATTGAGGCAAAATTTAAGCATGTTGCTCATTCTTTGGATACCTGACCTTCCATAGGACATTGATGGATTAGCAAGTGCTCAGGTAAATACAATTAGGACAGTTCTAGGATAACAAGGTGTAGAGCTGGATGACCACAGCAGGTGAAGCAGCATCAGAGGAGCAGGAAAGCTGACGTTTCGGGTCTGGACAGATTCTCCAGCTTCAGCAGTTCCACTATCTCTAGGACAGTTCTAGGATTTGATGAATAACAAAAGAACTCACAAATGGATAAACAATCAGCTCTTGGTTCTCTTTGTCTCTTACTGTTTTTATGTCTCTTTCATTCTCTTCCTCTTGTTTCTGTTTTACAGTTTTTACTTCTAAGTTTCACTCTTGTTGTCTGTTTCTCTCTTTGCTCAACCTCACTCCCTTGCTGTGTGCCACTAACTCCTTTCGCTTTGTTTTCTCCTTCACTGTGTCTGTTGTCATTTTCCCTGTTTGTACAAGGAGACCTCGATGTATTAACATGTAACTTGTGTGATAAGCTCTATCTTGTAACTGTTGCAGGGTATTTAACTTGCCCATACTCCAGATACATCTACAGACCAACGAGGAAGGTAGACATCTGCTGTGCTGTACTCAAAATTATTACAATTGCATGGATCTTCCTCAGGTTTTTTTCACAGCCTGGTTAATGACAAAACTGAGAATTTTTTTTTCAAAACCTTCAATTTTTTTTAAGATTACCTCCAAGCCTGTTAATGAAGTATACACTAAGACGAGGTCTCTTGCAGGTTCAAGTCCCACCTGACATGATTGTGGGTCACGACAGCTTGAATTTTTAAAAAATAACTACACCAAGACTGGAATGCTTTGCTGGAGACTGTTTATAGCTTGCCACGGAGCTTACAAAGCCGTTTTTAATAATCCCACCTAGTGCTGGTTGGCTCTTTCTATATACACGTATAGGTAGATTCAACCTGTTCAGAGGCTTTCTTGCACACCTCTAGAGCAAGTGAGACTTGAACTCAAGTCCCCTAACTCCAAGATAGGGACACTCCCACTGCACCACCAGAGCCATGTTAGGTGAACTTAGCTAATCAATACCTTATTGACAATCAATACTTGCTTACTTCACCTTCTTCCTTCAAGTATCAGCTATTTAACATCCATTAATAGAACCCCCTACTGGATACTAAGACATCTCACTGAGTAAAATTGGAAGACGATGTTACAAACTGGTTTTCTCATTATTTGATGCATTATTTACACTTCAGTATTGAAAATGCAATGGAACACAGCACAGATAGACTGCAGCTCATTGTATTGCTGACAGCTCCAGATTCCAGAGCCAAGAAATCTGATTCACTGTGTAAGATGCCCTACAGTCTCCCATGCAGAGACAATGAGGGGGTCAGAGGAGGAGAGACCGTGAAACACAAAGGCAGATACACGCGCCTTGATTTTAACTCAATGGCCAGATATAATTCATTAAATTAAGTGAATTCATTAAATTGAGACTCACTCAAATTCTTACTATTCATGCTTGGTTGATGTTAGAATCAGGGCTATAGGTTGACAGAGAGACAGTCAAAATGAGAAAGAAAGATAAGGAGATAAAATCATTCCACTTATTACACTTGAGTCTTTCAAACAGAATGAAAGTCCAATGATTTAAACTGTGATATTGTAGTCTTCAGCCCAGCATTGGGACTGTCTCTCCCATCTAAATTAAATCCCTGCTGTCCTCTGGTAAACCTCTCTTTGTCTGAGACAGCTGCTGTGTGCTGGTCCTGGGGAAACAGTAGTAGGAACTGAAATCACAACAGGGTTGCTGGGTCAACTGTGAATAATGAGTGAGCTGTTCCGATAAAACAACAAGTACGCCCCTGTATTTGGGAATTGTGACAGCATCAAAAGCTTGTACTTGGTATTTGCATTATCGTTGCTCATTTACCAGAGTAGCTGCTACTGCATCTGCTGTGTAGCATCTCTGAAACAGTGATCATTGTAGGTTCATTGTTTTAAAGGGATTAGACTACTGCCAACTTGTCCCAGTATGGCTTTCTGTATTCCTGGCAGCACCTGCAAAATTGCACTGTGCTAAAGTGGTCAAGTATAATCCGAATATAAAACCCAGAAGGCGACTCATTCATCAATGTCCCAGATCATCCCTTAATATTCCTTAATATTTATACTATCATTTATTTCTAGTTATAGTCATAGAGGCCTTCGGCACAGAAAAAGGCCCTTCAGCTCATCGTATCCAGACCAGTGAAAATCAAAACAGCCATGTAACTATTCAAATCCCATTTTCTACCACATGTCGCACAGTTTTGTATTTCTTGGCATCACAAGTGCACATCTAAATACTTTAATGTTATGACGGTTTCTGACTGTATCACCTTTACCTGCTGCCCCTTATCTTAAATATATGCTCCTGGTCATTGATCCCTCCACCAAGGGCAAAAGTTTCTTCCTGTCTGTGCCCCTCATAATTTTGTATATCTCAATCATGTGCCCTCCCCACTAGGCTTCCTCTGTTCCAAGAAAAATAACCCCAGGCTTTCCAATCTCTCTTCGTATTTAAAACTGTCCACTCAGTTGCTGGCACAATTATACTTGGAGTTTAAGGGCTCCTAAGCTGTGATGTCCCATTCCAGCCCATTTGAGCCCACTTTCCACTTGTACTATCCCCAACCCAAAAGTATTATCATGCTCATTTCAGTGAATGTGAAAATCATGGGCCAGTTGGGGCCAGTGGAAAATTCCATCTGCCACCTTTTGAATAAAGTTTAAAACTAATAATTCATCCACCTGTTTAACTGCATGTGAACTGTCCAACTATACTACCCATGAGAAATGCTCAATTTAAATATGTGTCTCAACGAACACCATCTGAGGAAATATAAACTAGTTATAGAAAACAGGTTTTGTAAAATATAATCTGCTCAACTTGTCCTCAGTCCGACCATCCCAGGACTTTGCCTTTTGAACCTCTGCTCCTTGTCACGCATGGCAGTGCCCTGCCCAGAGTCCTCAAGAACATGAATTAGTTGGCTCACCAAATGGCAGCAAGTTGAATTAAGAAATCGTCTAGGCCCTCTTCTGTCTTTGTAGGTCCCGGAGAAGGTGAATCCAGATAAGTACTTTCAACTAAATTATGTAGGTAAAATCAGCAGCATCTGGTTTGAACGGGCAAAAAGCAAACAGAGCTAAATGATGGAAGTTCTGCTTTGCACAAAGATGATTTAATATGTGGCATGGACCACCAGATAGAGTAGCAGATGCAAAACCCCTAGAATTATTGATGGCCCATTTGCATGCTGCGAGGAGTACTTCATGGTCATTTATATCTCCATAGTTTCTTTTCATTCATTGGTTTGTGGACATCTCCAAAGAGGCGAACGCTTCTTTCCTAACCTTTTGAGAAAGTTGTGTTGAGCCACCATCTTGAACCTCTGCATTTTATGTGGTATAGATAGAGAGGTTTGAAGTTGACTCAATGGTAACGAAGGAACAGCTATGTACTTACAAGTCTGGATGCTGTGTGACTTGGATGACACTTGCAGATTGTGTAGTGCCCCATGTGCCGGCTGCCTTATTCCTCTAGTCGGTAGAACCTATGGATTTGCAAGGGGTTATCACAAAATCAAGTTTGTACCAGAATATCATGTGCAATGGAAGTCAGATATTTCACTAAAAACTAGTGACAACCTCATGGATTTCTGCTAATCATGCTCATGTGACAAATTTCTATGCCCATTAGATATTGAGTTTTTTTAATTCATTTGGGGGATGGAGGCTTCTTTAAATCAGTATTTATAGTCCATCCCTAATTGCCCTTGAAGCTGATGGTGAACTGTCTTTTTGAACCACTGCAATCCATATGGTGTAGGTACACCTACAGTGGTGTCATAGAAGGAGCAACACTTTAACCTAGAACCACCTGTATTTCGAAACCAGGATGGTCAGTGATTGGAGGGGGACTTGCATTCCCATGTATTGCTGACCTTGTTCTTCTAGATAGTAATGGTCATAAGTTTTGAAGGTGCTTTCTAAGGAACCTTGGTGAATTTCTACAGTGTGTCTTGTAGATTGTAGACACTGAGCGCCAGTAGTGGGGGAAGTGGATATGATACCAAACAAGCAGGCTGCTTTGGTCTGGGTGATGACAAGCTTCCTTAGTGTTATTAGAGAAAACTCATCCAGGCAAGTGAGGAGTATTCCAGCACACTCCTGACTTGTGCATTACAGGTAGTGGACAGGCTTTGAGGAGTTAGGAGGTGAGTTACTTACTGTGGGATTCCTAGCCTCTGACCTGCTCTTGTAGCCAGTGTTTATATGGGAAGTCCAGTTCAGTTTCTGATCAGTGGTAACACCCAGCATGTTGATAGTCAAGGTAATACAATTGAACGTTAAGGGGCAATGGTTAGATTGACTCTGTTGGAGATGGTCATTGCCTGGCCTGGCACTTGTGTGGCACAATGTTACTCGACACTTTTTTCAGCCTAAGCCCAACTTGCTTTGCCTGCTCACCACACTTTCTCAGCAGAAGGCTGAGGCAGTTAATTTATATGTCTATTAAAGGGATCTTCAGACTGAGTCAGGAGAAGCTAGAAGCAGTTTTAGCACATTTTATTAAGCCAGCCATCCTTTAGAAGCTTCCTTCTTCCTTACTGCTGCTGCTCTAACTGATGTTTTGCTTCATTCCTGATACTCTTGCCCTCCCTTTGTGAGGGGGCAGTAGTGTTTCCTTCATGTTCAGTTGCCCTGCCTTGAGATTATGAATAGGGAACATCGTTCACACAGGTTGCTTGCCAAGTGAATTTAAACTAGACCCAAATGGACACGTTCCACACACCCATGCCCCATGTCTGTCTGACTCACCCTACCTGAAACCTCCTGATAGGTTTAAACTGTTTTCATTAAGGAGTTTAAAAACAATGACTGTGTTACTTGATGAGCAAGTCTTTATTGAGCCACTTTGAACTGTGTAATTGCATTTGCCAGGCCCACGCACTATATGCAAGATGCTTTGGATATCAGAGCACAAATAGTGTGAATTATATAGATAGGGTTTTGGAAACTGTAATTTACACTTTCCAACAAGATGAGTACTACAGGAATTCTAGTGCTTATATGCTTAAATGGAGTCAACTTTAAAACACGAAATTTTAATTGATATTTGGCTGTGGATTAAAATCAGATGGGATCAGTTTAGAACTTGTCGATGAGTAATATGGATAGGATGAGAATGGCACTACTGCCTCACTGCGCCAGCGACCTGAGTTCGATTCCAGCCTCAGGCGACTGTGAAAACCCCATACAAACAATCTCCCAGTGTCTGCGTGGGGTTTTCTACAGCTGCTCCAGTTTCCTCCCACAGTCCAAAAATGTGCAGATTAGGTGGATTGGCCATGTTAAATTGTCGACCGTGTCCAGGGATGTGCAGGCTAGATAGCATAGCCATGGGGAATGCAGGGGTACAGGGATAGGGTAGGGCAGTGGGAATGGGACGGATGCTGAAGCCGGACAGTGTGGACTCAATGGGCTGAATGACCAGCTTTCACACTGAAGCATAGAATCGCTACAATGTTATTATCACCCTCTGTAGCAGGGCGGACTTGAACCCCAGCCTCCAGGCACAGAGGTGGGGACACTACCACTGCACAAATAGAGTCCTAAAATCTGCTTTTTATTCTCATTGTGACTAATGCTGCTCATATTTCATAATCTAAGAAACAGCACCTTTTGAAAAGTAACTCTTGGATGTGTGTCAACATTAATTGGAAAGAATACTCAATTCTTTCCTAATTTTCATTAGAGATTTCAGATTTTCTTTTAAACTAATTTTCCCTTCAGGATTTTAAAACGCAAATATCACAACACCTTATCACTATTTTCTGTTTTATTGTTCTATTGCTCACCTTCTGTTTCTGGTCTGCTCCTTGTTCATGTGGAGTGGAGATCAATGTACATTAGTATAGCACTTTTTGTAGATCAGAAAGTCCTAAGGTACTTCAGTAAAAGTAATTGGTGCTGAGTTAAAGAAATCTTAAGGTAAATTGTTAAAATTGTAGCCAGAAAGATAGGTTTTAAAGGAGGGTCACAATAGAGAATGTTGGACAGCTTTAAAGGAGGGAATTACAAAGTTTACGACCTAGACAAATGGTAGCGCAGCATCCAAGGGGTGTGATTTTTAAAATGTGATTGCTCAAGAGGTCAGGATCGTAGAAACACCAAGTTCTTAGAGGTTTGTAGGGCTATGAGAAGATACAGAGGGAGGATGGGGTGAAGTCATAGAGAGATTTGGGCACAATGATGAGAGTTTTTAAATTAAAACTTTGCTGGATGAGATCCCACTGCAACTCAGTGAGTGGAATGAATGGAGGGTGAGTGACAGCAGGTCAGAGTAGCACTGGAAATTTGGAGACCCTGATGGTGGATCAGCATTTCAACAGGAGGTAAGCTGAATTGGAGACAGGTGATATTACAGAGGTGGAAGTAGATGGAGTTGGGAAAGAGGGAATCGGAGTCAAACTCCTGTAGGAAACCAAGGTTAAGAACAGTCTGAACCAGCTTGTGAGCAGAGAGCAAGATGGAACGTGTATCTTGTGAATATAGTTTGTGGCTTTGTTCTCTTCTGAGAGAGACTAAAATGGTCACCTTCAATCAGGGGCAAATATTGGAATGATTTGTGCTAAATGTCATTTAAGGACAGTCTTATTAACCTTGAATTTCTAATACAGGCTGGTTTAAAGGAAGGTGTGTTTTCAGTACATTGACATACTGTAATGACACATTTATTGCAAAGAGGGAGCAGGGCATGACGGATGTTTGCCTGAAATGTTCGTCAACAGTGTAGAAACCCTGTTTGTAACTCACACTTGTACTGAACCCCCTCTTTTTGTTCCAGACAGGAATTCCAGGCATGGACTGGCGTTGAAGTGGTCAAACCTGTGAAGATAAAACAAGAGTACACGCCCCCAGGAGACAAGATTGTCCTTGAAAGCAGTTACAGGGCTGCTTTCACAGAGGATGCATTTCGGCGTATAGAACCATTGCAGGTTACATCCAGCAAGTCCCAGAACCAAATAGCTTCATTAACTGAGACTGACAACACAACAAAGACAGAGAGCTCAGTAAGTGCATGTCAATCCATTCTAATGAATATGGCCTTTAATCTCCTAGAGATTTCTAGTTGTCTTAGGTTCAATTTTGCATCATTATTTGTTAATGGATTCTAGCTTAGCTTAATTACACAATGAAGATAATTTAAAATTTTAACACTGGGGTTAAAAAAACAGAATAAATTCAAACTAGTTGCACATTTTAAACTTCTCCCAAATTTCTTTTCCATTGGAATCAAGTGAGGTGTAAAACAGGTAGCCTATTTAGCATCACCTATTTATGGACAAGACACCCTGTAAATTCTTTAATTCAGTTGAACGTTGAAGTTTCGAGCTTTTAAACTGGGCAGATGTTTCAGTACATTACCATGGGAGTACATTCTTGTCAAAGGTTCTACAACACTGGCCGAATTGGATTAGGGTAGCACTTAGTTGGGCAAAAATCTTTGACTTTGGTAGTAACCTGTGGCCTTTTATTTGCCTTTATACATTCAGAATCCAAGAACTTTCTGGTGTAAGTCAATGCAATGTGAATGCTAGGTCTGACTAGAAATTAAACAGTAGATCTAATGGCAAGTAGTGCACTTGTGTACTGTTCAGTCAGTTTGCAAGCTATACAACTGGGTTAAATGGCCTTTCTCATTCCTATTTTAAAATGGTGCCATTACTGGGGACTTGTAAACTTTTCACTGTACTCATGTGAGTACATGTGACAATAAAGCTAATTCTAATTCCATTTGTATTGTTGGATCAAAGGATGGTTCAGTTGAAAAGAATCACTGTTTAAATAGCATCTTTAACATGGTTATAAAGTCCAGAGGAGCTTTATTGAGCATAACCAGAGGAAAGAAATTAGCTCCAAGCTAAAGAGAGAGAGATTAAGGCAAATAATGATAAGCATGGGCCAAGAGGTACACCTTTTATAGGAGGAAAATGAGACTGAAATTCGGAGAGAAGTAGAGACGGGCATTCTAGAGTTTCATGTACAGAGGGCTGAAGGCCTGGCCATCAGTTGTGGAGCTCTGAACATCAAGGATATGCAAGAGCTAGAGCTTGAGGAGTGCAGATATCCAGACAGTTATAAGGATGGAGAATATTACAGAGATAGGGATGGGCAAGACAATGGGAGCATTTGAAAACATGATTAGAATTTAAAAATGGAGGTGTTGTGGATTGGGAGCTACCATTGCTCAGTGAGGACAGAGGCAATATGGGAATGAGATGAGGTCCAAGCAGCAGAAATTTGAATGAGCTCCAATTTACCAGGAGTGGAAGATAAGAAGGAAGTCTGAGAGCATTGGCACAGTCTGGTTGAGAAGTAACCAAGGAACGTGTGAGGGTTTCAGCAGCGGACAAGCTGAGGCAGAGGTAGTAATGTGATGGCATGTGCCATATCTTTATTCACCGAGCCCTTAGCCCTGCAGTAATTCACTGACAGGCTGCAAACTGTCCAGCTGTACACAAATGGAGCCGTTGCCTTCATCTGTGGTGCACTCAGTGCTGTATTGTCACTCTCATATCCTAAACTGCAGGGGATTTACAGAAGTAATGATAAACTCCCAGATAATAGCCTGATGTGATTGAAATTCTCCCAGCCAGCGCTGTGCTGGAGGCTAGATCAGACTGGAGCGGAGTGTCTCACCATGAACCTCTTTATTTATCATCTTCACCCTTCAACTCCAAAATATTTTGCGCAGTAAATTCTGGAAGTGTGAATCGCTGATCCTGTGGTGAGAATAACACGGTGCCAGAGAACTGTGAAATTGAAGAAACAAAAACAAAGTGCTGGGTGAAACTCAGCAGGTCTCGGTGGAGAGAGAAACAGAGTTGATGTTTTGAGTCCAATAGCATTCTTCTTCAGAACTGAGATTTGAGAATGAGAGAAGGAGGGTGAATAGAGTCCAATCAGATACAAAAAGAGGAAAAGACTGTGTCACAAAAGGGGCAAGAAAACATTTTAAAATTTAAAATCTTTATAATGTCTATGAGCAATCTCTTACCTGAAGAAAATGAGGCACCGCAGTTCAAATTATTCAGGTTTTCAGCCAGAGATTTTGACTGGCATCATGTTAACAACTTGTTAATTCCCACTTATAACTTCCCTGTGGAAAGTTTAATTGGTAATTAATGTGAAGTTCCAATATTTAAACAGATTCAATCTTTCAAAGGAAATATACTTGAGGATTTAAACCTGCATCGCCAGACACACGGTCCATAGCAACTGTTAGTGAGACAAGAAGGCTAACCTTAGCAAAAAGCACTGCAGAAACTGATTCAGACAGCAGATCCTGCTTCTCTCAGCATTTCTCGATGCAACTAATGAGCTGTCCTGGCAACAGGATGAGGAATACTCTTGCTGACACTTAATCTTTCCAAAAGCTGAAATGCTAAAATTGTAATTTCTCGATCAATAGACTCCATTTTCAGGTTGTTTTAAAAGTAACCGCTCGCATGACAATAGCCAACAACAAGCAGCAGCTTGTTAGAATATAGAATACCTGCACACTAGATTCAACTGAAAACTAATTCTAGGGCTGTTTTTTCACAGGTTACCCCTTCATCTCTGGCTCTCGCTGAGCTGCCTAATCTAAATGGTCATTGTCCACCTGGTCATTGGGTGGGAGTGTACTGGAGAATGAGAGAACTGCTGGGTGGGGAGACTCAACTGTTGCTCCATTTGCCTGGTCCAGATAACCCAGCTCAGGAAAATTCCAGCTCCCCAATCCCAAAACTGGCCATTCCCTCAACAGCACGTCCTCCTCCTCCACGCTTTGCCCTCTCAGTATGTCACCCCCCTGTATTCATCAATTCATCTAACAGGAGTTGCCTCACCCACTACATGTGTGTCACTACAAGTGGGAAGTGAACCAATGGTGTTAATAAGATGGTTGAGAATTTAATGATGGGGGAGTTACTCTGAGGCCTCATCTGCTTGTTCAGGTGGATGTAAAATAGCCCCATGGCACTTTCCCGTAGAGTGAGATTATTTTGGTCATTGCTCACTGCTGTTTCGTGGAAATTGCCGAGTACAAGTCGGTCTTCGCCTATGAAACCACAATGTCTGAACTTCCAAAATGATTCAATGGCTGCGAAACGCTTCGGGGAAATAGTTGTGTGCGGCTGCTGCAAGGAAACATTTCACACTCCCTCCGTAACTCTTTCTGATTTTTATGCTAAGGAACCAGTGGTGAAGACAAAGTTGTCGCCATCTTCGAATTCCTCAGCGGTGTTCCAGAGCCGCTCCCGTGTGTTGAATATATAAACCCGGTCACAGCGTCCTCTCGAAGGAGCTGTCCCCTTGCTGAAGTAGACCCGGACGAAAGGCAGCTGCTTTAAATTCCTCCACGACAAACTATGCAAAACAAACCTTGGAGAGGAGCACTGTTGGCATTTTGAAGTGCCCCTCAGTTGAATGTTCATTTGCAATCGCCTGATAAATACTTGGCATTGTACAGTAGATGATAAGTCCCATTGGACTCGAACAAAACTCTGTTTAATGTGTGAATGCCTCATCTGCATGTTGAGTAAGGAGTAGATTGTTTAATTACGCACCAGAGACTTGGACAACAAGCAATAGGTCGGGCAATAAAAGCTGAGAGAAAAGTAACGTCTGTGTGAGTTTTTCTACTGCTGTTGCTGTGCCTACGGTAAGGAGCCACTCCTTTGTTCAAACCAGGAGGGAAAGGTCCCCTGCTGAGAGACCATTGAAATCAGGAATATGCCTCGGATTCTCCATTTCCCTCCAGGTGAGGAGAAGATCTATGCTGGTCAATTCTAGGCTGTGCTTTACAGATCCTGGGATCATTCCTGTTTTGTTTTGCATCTTAAAATGTAATAATTGTTTTGAGTACGTAAGAAATGGTACAATGCATTGACATAATTGTATCTCAAATTGGAGAGTAATTTAAAATTAATCAGATAAATAGACAGTCTTTTTCCATCATGTCTTACAGTACTAAGGCGGAGTTTCATAGGAGGGTTAAAGTACTAGAGGGATGAGTGAAATCTGTGTGTAAAGAACAAGCTTTGACTGGAGAGTGACTGTACTAGAGAGAGTGGTTTTGGAAGATGATGTGAGCTTGGAGTTCAAATGATGGGCTTCATGAGAGGATTAATACTGCAGGAAGAGAAATTTCCATGGAAGATGGAAGTTTACGTCTATGTTCACATCTTGTAAGTAATTCTACAGAACTCAGACACTCTCTCATTTCTTCTAACTTCTCCCTGCAAAGCATCTCTACCTCAATCTCCCACACCAACTTAAACAAACCCAAAACTCACCAACACCCCAAGACAGCAAATCTCACCAAAGTTAATGAACACCCAATGCCAAATCCTGAAGTCACTAACCAAAATTCACAAAGCTAATAAAGCCCCCCATCAACTCCGATTCCCAACTGTAACCTCGATTACACTTTGGATCTGGCATAAAAAAAGACTTGAATTTTGGGGATAGTATCTTTCCTGCAGTCTCACACCAACATGCTGGAATTCACTGTCACAAGGTGTGCCTTGTTTTGTTTTAGCAAATCCTCCCTATTTCTATACTCCATTCCTTTTGAAGTAAAGATCAACGTTCCATTTCTTTCCCTTTTAGCTGTTGAATTGTAGTTTTTTTTTGTAATTCATGTATTAGGTCATCCAAATCATTCTGTTCAATAGCTTTCTGCAGTCTTTCCATTTAAATAATATTCCGCTCCGCTATTCTTCCTGCCAAAGTGCATAATGTCCCATATTTCCACATTATATTCCATCTGCCATGTTTTGCCCACTCAATGAACCTGTCTATGTACCTCTGCAGACTTTATATCATCTTCACCACTTGCCTTCCCAATATTTTTGTATCACCCACAAACCTGGCCATAATACATTCATTTCCATCAACCAAGTCGTTAAAATACATATAAATACGATTGTGGTCCCAGCACTGATTACCAACAGGGTTGCCTTCCTGAAAATATCCCCTTTTATCCCAACTGTGTTTCTATTAGTCAGCCAATGCTCTGTCTGCAACACTCAACACTACGGGGTTTTTCTCTTATTAAAGTAGGCTTGTGTACTTATCTACCTGCCTGTTAACCGCCTCAAAGAAGTGTAATAAAATTTATCAGGCATGATTTCCCTTCATGAGGCCATGCTGGTTCTGCTTGATCATAGTAAGTATTTCCAAAACATTTTGTTATAACATCCTTTGTAATAGATTTTAACATTTTCGTCATGACAGATGTTAAGCTACCTAGCCTATAGTTCCACTGCCCACAAAGCAACAATCTGCCCTGATTTGTGAGGTGAAGGGTGCAGAGTGAACAATTGACCCTCCTGTCAGAAACTGAGTAGAAAATTACCGCACTACCAGAATGTTTTAGCTTAGGCTAAGAACACTATTAGCTCATCATGAAATAGCAATGCACACAAAAAAGTTATGAACAAACAAACTATGATTAATATTCAGAATGGTCAATAAATTGGGTTCTTCCTTATGTTAAAGGGGCTATATAAATACAACTTGTTTTTGACTTCCATGAATATATTAATTTGTGTCTAAACCAATTAAATTACTCCACTTCAAAAGCAAATGAGTACCGTAGGTGCTGGAAATCTGAAATAAAGAGAGAAATGATAGAATACTCCAGTGGTCTGGCAGCGTCTAGGGAGAGAAACGGTTCATGTTTAAGCTCAATGAAATTGCATCAGAATGGGGACAAGTTAAAGATATAAGCATCATGCAAATTCAGACACAGGGAAAGAGGGTAGAGGGAAGAACAAAAAAAAACAGATCTATGATGGGGTTAAAATTGTTTCAGAGATAGTAGGAACTGCAGATGCTGGAGAATCTGAGATAACAAGGTGTAGAGCTGGATGAACACAGCAGGCCAAGCAGCATCAGAGGAGCAGGAAGGCTGACGTTTCGGGCATAGACCCTTCTAGTCCTTTAAAGGAGCTTTGTAACAAAAACAAGCACTCAAAATTCAAGTTAACAAAATTCAAATTAAGATGGGACCTTAGAGGTTAATAATGTTACTTCAACTCCTGCGATGCCCACCTTTCATAGCAGGCTTTGAGCAAGTGAGTGTACACAGCATGCCCCTTCTCTGTGAATACCCAGGCATGGTCATAAGCATAACAGCAAGCAACTCCTTGTTCATGGTCACCTTGGAGAGGCCCAGGACCAGACTCACAAGAAGGTCCTCTAAAATCTGTCACTGCCCCCTGCAGGCTGGCAGGCCAAAGATCAGAAGTGTGGGGCTGAAGTGCAAACAAAACCTAAAGAGCCCTCCCCTTCAGGATGTAAAGTAGGGACTGCAACCTACTGCCCCCAGTGTGCATGTGGAACCTTCATCCTCAAAGCCCCCACCAAAACCACAATTGGCCCAGGAGTCTGTGCACAACCTTAACCTTTTTCATACATTGGACTGCTGCCTGCAACACCCTCCATACCAATTGCCAATGAACAAAGGGAATGTGTCCACAGTAGGGGGCACTGGAACCTGTGCCCCATTGAAATGCCATGCCATGTCTGAGCAGTTGATGAGGGAGAGGTGTGCAACAGCAGCTGCTTGTACAGGAAACACGGCCACACCAAGTGAAATGTTAGGGAATTATGCTGGCTACTCGAAATGTTGGCCTTGGATTTCCGATGGAGGTTTCGAGACCTGGGGCCAACGTGTGAACTGTCCGAACTGCGGTTAGCTTGGATGGGTGACCACTGTGTGCTTGAGATGCCTTAAGTGCTGCCAGGGCAAGAGTGTGAGTGGGACAGTGAATTAAGATGGCATTCACTTGAGCTTTCTAAATTGAGGTGTTCTGCAAAGCAGACATTCAAGTTGTGTCCTCCCACCCAGTGTAGGAGCCTCATGAAAAGTGAATCCAGTTATATAGTAGTGGCGAATCACTGTTTAACTGTAAGGAACATCTCAGACTGTGAATGGGGTGAAGGGAGCAACTGTTTCAGCTCCTGCACCTGTTTGGAGAGGTGCTATGGGACTGAAGCTTAAAGCTTACCAGAACATTTTTGAACACGTACTTGATTTTCAGTTGACCCAAGCTTGTGAACCAAAACAGTAGGATACAAGTCAGAGAGAGGGGTAATTAAACTGTGCAGTGCTCTGCTCACCAAGAGATACAGGACACCACAATGCAGTGAAGAGCCAGAAGGTTGATTCTTGTGTCAGGAGTTTGAGTTGTGAGAAAAGATTGGAGAAACTTTGGCTTTTCTGTCTAGAAAGAAGTTGTTAGGTGATGGTATAGAGCTTCAGTAGAATATAGAAGGTTAATTTGGAGTATTATTTTCTATTGAACTACAGCAGTAGAACAAGTGGGCACAAGTAAAAAATGACTATTAGAATGATATCAGGAGGTTTTCAATGTGTGGAATGAAATTCAGGATGCATTGTGAAGGGGAAAACCCTAGAATTATTTTAGGAACAAGAAATGGAATAAAGTGGAGGATCTTCTTGGATGAAACATATGCATTGTGAAGGGGAAAACCCTAGAATTATTTTAGGAACAAGAAATGGAATAAAGTGGAGGATCTTCTTGGATGAAACCAAGCCTTCCTCATCTCTGCAGAGTTCATGTTGTAAAACCTCCTACAGTCACTGTGATGACTGTCGCTATAATCTGGCAAATTCAATTCTACCAGGCATTAGTTGGAATTCAGCCAGTGAAATTCAAGAGTGGTAAAATGATGGCCCATCATCTATAGCACTCAACCCTTGACCATCAATATCTCTCACTGACTACGGCTGTCGGTTGCTTTATTCTGAACACTTGTCCAATAAATTAGCCATCTGCAACCAATTGGAAATCCAGATGTGGCTAATCTTATTTGATTCACAAATTAAAATTGACCAATAGACTGTTGTTTAACACGTGATCGCAATACACACAATCACATGGTGTATGTCGAGGAACTTCAGTTAACTTCTTGGTGTTTGCTAGTAAAATGTTTATGGGCAACAGTTGTGTTTGAGGGTAATTTTTGATTATTGGGATTGCTTCACTCTTTTAGTCACTGAATAGTGATAAGTGATTGAATCTATATTAACAGTGATCACTGATTAGAATGTAACTGTATCAAAGGCACAGGTAATAAAGGAAATTGTTTTCACTAAGCACTTCAAATGATCTCCAAGATGTAGTCTAATCAGCTAATATTCAGTCTGTAGCTTGAGTAGGGTAAAGATGTCAGAGCGAGCTTTACTCATTGCAGTATTTGTGCCTTTTTTTTAAATCAGAGCTTTTGATAAACCTTAGAGATTTGTCCCTTTAATCTGAAACATTGCAATTGAAAGATATTACCAGCTAAATCCAGAAAGAAGGATCTACCTGCAGCAGATGGGATCTCAGTGTGTGTCTGCTCAGCTGAAAAGGAAATTCCACTTTGCTGAAGCATGCACCCTTTCCTGGTTAAGGCTGTTCAACAACAGTTTTACGGCACCTCCTATGGTTGAGATGAGTTCAGTTGGCTAGTCAGCTGGTTTGTGATGCAGAGTGACACCACTAGCAGGGGTTCAATTCCCGTACCAGCTGAGATCACCCCGAAGCCCCTACCTTCCCAACCTCACCCAGTGGTAACCTTCAGATTAAACTCACTACCAGTCGTCT